ACCCCCACAACAGAAAAAAAAATAGCTCTTGTAATTGGAGGATATTATTATCTACACATTTGTTCTTTACTCATTTTCTCTTGGGCTCACAATGCATCTCTCCTTTTATCCCCCTTTTGGGTGTGTATGTGTGTGGAGGAGGGGTTTACTTGAGACTGTTTGGAATTATGGGGGTTTGTGGGAAAAGTTTTGGGGGCTTACTGGGAAAAACAAAGTTTAGGAGATTTTGTGGGTTTTTATCATTCCATTAGTTCAGTAATTTTTAAAAAGGTTGCACATGCAGACCAACAGAAGTATGTGAATGACAATTGCATTGAGCGACCAATGGGCCTCCATGTGGAGAAAATGCCTATTTCCATCTAGGTCGTCTTGCAACTATCAAAATATAGAATATTGATAAATAATCATCACAAAGAACTGAGACAACTGACCATCCATGAATATGCAATGGTCTGCAGATCATGACATAGCTTACCATTTGGGTGCCTCACCAATTCTCTTAGATAGCTGCAAAGTTTAGTCTGCTCACATGAAACCTCTTTATTTACATGTGCACAATCTTACAAACATACACTTATTTACATGCACCAAATCGTGCATGCATGCTAAGTTTTCAGTGCTTGCATATGTAACAAGGGCCAACCTAAATTATACGATGGCTATTTCAACAATCACAAGTAGTATGGTTTACACTATAATCTCCTTGCCCTAAATGTCTCTTGGATAACCCCTCAAAGGAGTAGTCATCATATTAGTAAAATATTATAAATTCTCACAATATATCCTTTAGTTTCTAAACATGCTATGCATACAAAACAATTTCAACAGTAATTAAAAGTTCAAATAATGTAAAACGTAAATGAATTGGTGGAAGAATACCAAAAGTAAAGAATGGATTTCTTTTTGCTATGATTTATTTCGCGTTAAGAGACCAACAATAATTCTTAATGATTTCATAATTCTAAGATATACTTCTCAGGTTTTCCCTGCTTATTCATACACTCTGATTGTATTCTTGATTTAATTGCAATATTCACTATTTCACTACAAATTACCCATAAGAAACACATAACTGGATGATTTCAGCGTTACTTATCTCATTCATCTATCATTGTCAACACTTAAAAAACATACCCATCCATTGGTTGCTCCATGTGTAATCTGACTAACCAAACAAATCAACATCCTTTCATTACTTAAACTTTACAGGTCCTTAACCAAAAACCAAAATCCATAAAAAAACTGAAATGTATTTTTTACCGTTTAATTCAAATAAGTGTTGCTGGAACCAAATTACAGGTCACATTTTTAGCTTTCTCACTCAACTCATTAATACACTATCCCCAACATTACAAAATCAAAGAAATTTCCTTCACTTCCAAGCACAAAAACCAAAATTCAACCCATAGAAAATCCAGAAAGGATTTTCCTCACATTCCAATCAACCAAACTGATATTCGAGAATCCGGAACTCATAAGTACTAACTCATAAAAAGATCTAAATTTTCACATACATCTAATTACCCACAAAATGCAACAAAAAATCAAAGTTCACCTGGCAAAAGCTTGTCCCAGCTGAGCATATCCTCGAGAATCTCCTCGCACTCCTTGGTGTCCTTCAAGAACCCCTTCTCCGTCGCCTCCTTAATCATCCCATCCCACTTCTTATCATCCATATTAAAGAACTCATCTTTCGCCATCTTATGCTGCACATACTCCTTCGCATTGTACAAATCCGGCAGCTCCTCATCAGTATCATGCATCTCCTCGAAATCCGATTCGAACTCTCGATCCTTTATATCGTCCCTCGGCTGGAACCTAAGCTCGTCGACGAGCTCGTCATCGGTTTCCTCGTGCTTGCCGGAGAGCTTTCGGGCGAGGATCGCTTCCATTACCGAGGGGAGGGCCTGCTCGTCGCAACCGTTGAGGTACTGCTCGATGCGGCGCTTTAACTCGGCGTTCCCGACGTCGGGGATTGGTGGATCGGGCGGCGGCGGAGGATCCGATAAGGAAGCGGGTTCGGGTTTCGAATTGTCGGATGAGGAGGAGAAGAGGCGGAGGGTTGGGGTTATGGAGGGAAGAGATCGGGGAGAGGAGCGGAGGGCGTGGCGGAGGGAGTGAGAGAGGAGGAATCGGTTCATGGCGCGCTCTAGGGTTCTTGGGGGAAATTAGGGGTTCAGCGGAGTGAAGCAGACGACGAGGGCTTTCTTTTGGGTCTTGTGATTCGGGCTGGGCCTTTAAATTCCATGCTAATAAGTTTGTGGATAGGCCTTTTTTTTATTTCTTCATCTTGAGAGGTAAGATCAAGGGCCCATGGGCCTCAGCCTCTATCATGCTAAGTTATAGAGCAAGTAAGGAATTAAGCAAAAGACTGGATTTTGTGCCCTTTGACAGGTTCATTCTTTCGCACACAAGCATGGACTGTTATTTTTTCCATTTTGAAGAATAAAAACTCCAACGACTTTACTTGTTGGACAAGCCTGGTTGATGTTTGAACACTAAAAGTTTTTCATCTCATATGCGTAAAAAAAATTTATTGACATCTCTAATATGGAATAAATGGAATACTAGATGCCAGTCTTATAAACGAGTCATCAAGAGATTCACAAACAGTAAGTTTCAGCCTATAGTCACATATGAACCAAACCAATCTTAGTTTAAAAAAAACAGTTAGTTTATGGTCCGCTCTAATTATTGCCTAATATTAATTTTGCGAGTTTCTTTGTTTTGGTGATATATAGATGTTAAAAACCATGAGGTTTGCAACTTGTGGGCGGTGGGATTTATCATTTATATATGTTGACGAATTCTAAGCACGCTGCCACTCCATCTAGTCTAGTAAATAAAAATCAAAGTCAAGGATGCACACTCGATCATAGACTTGATCTTCCGAATAAAATCCAAATTAACCCAATAAAAGAGTTAAGAAAGCCTAGTGATATCTATTATGTTTGGTTTGGTTACCAGCAGAACATGATGCAGTGGGTCAAACTACCTACAGTTTTCTTAATGTTTTTAATTTAGGGAAAAATGCTTCCGGCCCCTAAAAGCCAAGAAAACGTGCTTCCCACTCTCAAGACTTTATCAGCGGGTGTTTTGCCCCCAAAAATAAAGATTTTGTTCTCTAAGCCCCCAAAACACAAAACCCAAGAAATTAAAATATGTGAAGACCATAATACTCTTCTCTCTCTCTCTCTTTTTTATCATGATGTACTGAGATGATAGTTGAAATGATTGATGAGGATTATTTTATTATTTTTATTGTTTGATGCGGTATTTGTAAATACGGCGGCTTTAATGTTAATATTTACGAGTTAAATGTTAAGGTTACGGTCAATTGTTAATGTTATGGATCCTCTCTTCTCTCCTCTCCTCTCTCTATAATATATATATATATATAACTATATATATATATATAATATATATATATATATAATATATATAATATATATATATATATATATATATATATATATATATATATATACTATATATATATATGTATGTATTCGGAAAAGTGAATCTGAAGTGCACACCCTAACCTCCCACCTAAGACGCAGCCTAAAATCACATCTATTCCCTAATGTTTTTGCGATCCACTCCGTTAAACTTGATCTACACGCTTCTTAGACCCAAACACATCAATTTTGGATGAACCCGTCGTCTGTTTTAACCCTTTGTGACCGTGCAAAAAGTTATAATTCATTCGAAACCGGTTAAAATTGTGCGCAATGGATGAATGGTCAAAACACGACGGGTTCATCCTAAAATTGATGCTTTGAGGTCTAACAACGTACATGTAGATCAAGTTTTAACGGAATAGATAGCAAAAAACAATTACGAATGATGTGATTTGTAGGCCGACGTCCTTAGGTGGGAGCCTAGGCGTGTCACATTAATCACTTTCCAAATATATTATTATATATATATAGATATATACTACTATTGGAACAATCTATATATTATATATATATATATATATTATATATATATATATATAATGATGTTACTGTGATGATATTGAAATGATTGAAGAGGATTGTTATTTTATTATTTTTGTTTTTTATTATTTTCGTATTTCTAGAATATTCGTTGTTAAGGATAATGGTTGGTTGTAAAGGTTATGCATTGATTGTTAAGATTACGGGTTGGTTGTTAAGGTTACTGGTTTTTTGTTAAGGTTATGGGTTTGTTGTGTAAGTTATAGGTTTAATTGTTAATGTTACGTGTCAATTGTTAAGGTTACGGGTCAATTAGTAATGTTACGGGTTTAATTGTTAAGGTTACGTGTTTAATTATTAAGGTTACGGGTCAATTATTAAGGTTACAGATTTAATTATTACGATTACGGGTTTAATTGCTAAGGTTACGGGTTTAATTGTTAAGGTTACGGTTTAATTGTTAATATTACGAGTTTAATTGTTAAGGTTACGGTTTAATTGTTAATATTAGGGGTTTAATTGTTAAGGTTACGGGTTTAATTGTTAAGGTTACGGGTTAATTGTTAAGGTTACGGGTCAATTGTTAAGGTTACGGGTCAATTGTTAAGGTTACGGGTTTAATTGTTAAGGTTACGGGTTTAATTGTTAAGGTTACGGGTCAATTGTTAAGGTTACGGGTTTAATTGTTAAGGTTACGGGTTTAATTGTTAAGGTTACGGGTCAATTGTTAATGTTACGGGTTTAATTGTTAAGGTTACGGGTTTAATTGTTAAGGTTACGGGTCAATTGTTAAGGTTACGGGTTTAATTGTTAAGGTTACGAGTTAATTGTTAAGATTACGGGTTTAATTGTTAAGGTTACGGATCAATTGTTAAGGTTACGGGTCAATTGTTAAGGTTACGGGTCAATTATTAAGGTTACGGGTTTAATTATTAAGGTTACGGATCAATTGTTAAGGTTATGGATCTCTTCTCTCGCTCTCTCGTAACCTTAATAATTAAACCCGTAACCTTAACAATAAAACACGTAACATTAACAATTAAACCCGTAACATTAACAATTAACCCGTAACCTACACAACAAACTCATAACCTTAACAACCAACCCGTAACCTTAACAACTAACTCGTAACATTCACAACCAATGCATAACATTTACAACCAACCAACCCGTAACCTTCACAACCAATGCATAACCTTTACACCAAACCAGTATCCTTAATAATTAACAATTAAACCCGTAACCTTAATGTTTGCGGTGAAAGTTGATTTCTTCATTGCTGAATCTATTACACGTTTATCGATTACAGATTCAAAGTAAAATTAGTCTTTTTATAAGACTTTCTTACACAATGAAAAATAAAAAAATACAACTCCCTTCAAACAAACGCAACGGGTGTTTATCGCCCGTTGCTTGCGTGGGATCTTGGCCTGTGACGGGGACGTTGATATCCGTGGACCACCGCCGATCAGATCTGATTGCTGAAAAATCGGGCAGAGCTTTGTTGATTCGCGAAGGAATCAAGAAATCGTAGCACTTATCTCGGCGATGACGAGATAATTGCTCTTTTTAAGATTATCACAACAGGATAATCTTAAGGAACGGACCTGGGGAACTGCAGATCTGACGAGCTCATCTTCTTTATGCTGACGAACTCGATCAGATCTCTACTCCTCCTCCTCCTCTCTGAAATTCATGCACTTTTGATCTTCAATCCGGCAGGGCTTCGCCAATGCTCGAGAATTCCAGATCTAGAAAAATGAAGGCCTAAGGTTTGTATTTATAGGCTCGGGGGAGTTCAGGTGGTTGAAACAGCATAACAGCCTAATTTTAGGCCTGGAGACACACCTGGGTGTCTCAACGAGGCCGAGACACCCTTGGGTGTCTCAACCTTGGCCGAGACACCTTGGGGTGTCTCGCTTGTGCCGAGACACCTCGGGGTGTCTCAACTCAGGCTGAGACGTTCTTTTCCGTATACTTGTCAGTTTCCGCCGTAATTTCTTCGTCCGAACTCAGATTTGAGTGATTCAAAATTGCGTTGGAAAGCCGATGAGGAGTTCTATAAGATCTGATGATTAGATCATTGTGGATCAAGCTGGGATAGGAGCGTCATTTCGTCTTTTGTAAGCAACGCGGGACTCCCGATCAGAAATTCCGTTACTTCACGTAATTCGTCGATTCACTTCAAGCATTCCTCAACGTCAATCAAGATTCCGTTACTTGGATAGTGACGTTCCTCATCTCCTCTTAGCTTTGAGCTGCTTACGGAGACCTATAGGTAATTTTCGATGCCTACAGATACCCCCTCCAAAGCGTTCCAGACTCGTTTCTTTTATAGAAGAGGCTGGAATACTTTGGATGTGATTGGTCCAGCCTTCGATCGGTGTAAAGGACCTTTAATTAGTTTCAACTCTTGGCTCCTTCGATTTTTAGTCTATTCGATGCTTTGACGAATAGCTAAAGTCTTTCCGGCGCTGCGTTTATCGTCTGGCCGTCGTCGGAGTCTCGAATCTAGAACTGATGGGTTGAGTTTGGCTCGTGTTATTGAGTTGACTTAGAACTGACTACCTCCGTGGTATCGTGTTGACTTAGGGTTTCAGATCACTATATGCTGACTTTTTTGTCACAACGCGTTGACCGGTGTTGACCTAGGGTTACGCGTTGACCGGCGTTGACCTTAGGGTTTAGATCATCGTACGTTGACTTTTTTTGCAACGCGTTGATTGGCGTTGACCTAGGGTTACGCGTTGACCGGCGTTGACCTTAGGGTTTAGATCATCGTACGTTGACTTTTGGTTGCAACGCGTTGACTAGTGTTGACCTAGGGATACGTGTTGACCGGCATTGACCTAAGGTTTCGGATCACCCGACGTTGACTTTTGGTCGTAACGCGTTGACTGGCGTTGACCTAGGGTTACGCGTTGACCGGTGTTAACACAATTTATACTCGTATGTTTGCTGGAGTCTACACAGTTTAAGCTCTTAAGGTATTAGAGCATGGCAGTCTTAAATGTCGGAGTTGCAGGACCAACTATGAAAGTTGATTCATCTGCATGTATGAATCTTTTCCTGAAGTTGTTGGATGCTCAAGTCACGAGACCAACTAATGAAGATGATGCGTCAATGACTCGCATTTATAGAATTTTTGGCAAATTCTCAGCCATCAACGGGTTTGATTAGCCTTTACCGACTACCGTTTGAGTCGGGCTAGCATGCAGATTGTTTTAAGTCTGTTCCGCATGTAACGTTAAGCTAAAAGAGTTAACCC